GATCCGAGTCAGCTGCGTGGACGCAGGGAAATACCACAGGTGTGGATTTCACAGTACCACGCAGAAGAATCTATAATCAAACTCACATTCTGTGGAAGCATTTGGAATAAAGAGATAATTCTGAATCACATTCCAACAAAAACAAAATTCTAGGGGTGCATCTACATTGTAGAATTAACACAGTTTGATGCAGCATTAACTGTCATGGATCAATGCAATGGAATCCTGGGAGAAGTAGTTTTAGAGTGCAGGTGCTTTACCAAACTACAACTCCCATGATTCAGTAGCACTGAGCCACGACAGTAAAAGGTGTCAAATTGCATTAATTCTATAGTTCCATTATATACAATAGTGTGGTAAAGTCCCTTATATAAAATGGAAAAGTCCTAGAATATCAGCCCTAGCCTTATCTTACTCAATTGCTGAGTATGCCTGCCCTGTTTGGCACAAGTCTGCCCAAGCAAAACAGGTGAACATAGCATTCAACGAAACATGCAGAATAATCACAGGATGTCTAAAACCTACACCTGTTGATAAACTCTACAACCTAGCTGGCATCCCCCCCCCCCTCCATGTGCGATGGGAATTTGCTGCTAAATGTGAGAGAAATAAGGTTGAACACTGTGAAAGCCATCCACTACATGGCTACCAGCCTCCTCCCAGCAGACTCAAATCAAGGAAAAGCTTTATGAGAACTACCACTCCTCTTGGCATCCCTCCAGCAACAGCAAGGGTATCCCTCTGGGCAGCTAAACCAGGAAATCCCAATTGGATGCCCCCCCCCCCCCCCGCAAGGGTCTCCCTCCAGAGGCAAACCAGGAATGGGCAACTTGGAAGTCTCTGATCAGACTTAGAAGTGGAGTGGGAAGATCGAAAGACAACTTGGCAAAATGCCACTACCTAAAAGCATCCCACACCTTGTGTGACTGTGGAGCAGAAAAGACAACTCCGCATCTGTACGCTTGTCCACTATGCTCTGCCTCATGTATATAGGAAGAATTGTTGGAGGCTACAGACAATGCCGTTGCCCGATTTTGGTCAAAAGATATTTAGCCACCTGTGCTCCTTCTGTTTTTATCAGTTTTTATACTAATTTATGCAATGCTTTTGATACAAAATAAATAAATTGAAACATCTAAGTCTGCCTTTTGAATTTAAAAAAAAAAGTTTCAAGCTGTGGATGGTGGGATTTGTGGATGCAGAAACAGTGGATATGGAGGGCTTCTAAGAGGAACAGAGCAGGAAATATGACTACAACAGCCTTACACATGCACAGGGTTGCCATAAGTCACCAGACAAATCGAAGGCACATAAGCAACTAATAGCCCTTAAGTCATGTTGAGAAAGTCTGCAAAACATCAGGCAGTCTTTTAAAAAGGTATTAACTTTTTAAAATTACAGGTTAAGTGTCCTTTAGCCAAAATGCTTGGATTTTGTATTTGTTTTCCCAGATTTTAGAATGCCTGCATTTGCATATACTGTTTTTCCATAACAAGAAATGTTAGAGATGGAATCCACGTTGAAGCATTTAACTCCTTTTTGTTACATTATATACATAAAGGTAATTGAATACACAACATGTATATTTTGTGTATCAAACAAAGATTCTGTACAATGAAGCATATGTGTTACTATTTCAGCCACCCACGTGGACAATTTTGGAATTCTTGGAAAGGGATACTCAAACTGCATAATTCCAGTATTTACATACCACCAAGAATCCGAACAGCAATTAAACTTAATTAAATTAAAAACTTAATTAAACTTAAATAAAATTCCAAAAAGAAAAAAAAAACAGTGACAAATGCAAGATACTCCACCTAGGCAGAAAAAAATGAAATGCAAAGATACAGAATGGGGGACGCATGGCTCAAGAGCACTATGTGTGAAAAAGATCTTGGGGTCCTCATGGACAAGTTAAACATGAGCCAACAATGTGATGTGGCGGCAAAAAAAGCCAATGGGATTTTGGCCTGCATCAATAGTATAGTGTCTAGATCCAGGGAAGTCATGCTACCCCTCTATTCTGCCTTGGTCAGACCACACCTGGAATATTGTGTCCAATTCTGGGCACAATTGAAGAAAGATATTGACAAGCTGGAATGTGTCCAGAGGAGGGCAACTAAAATGATCAAGGGTCTGGAGAACAAGCCCTATGAGGAGCGGCTTAAAGAGCTGGGCATGTTTAGCCTGAAGAAGAGACGGCTGAGAGGAGACATGATAGCCATGTATAAATATGTGAGAGGAAGTCATAGGGAGGAGGGAACAAGCTTGTTTTCTGCTGCCCTGGAGACTAGGATGCGGAACAATGGCTTCAAACTACAAGAAAGTAGATTCCATCTGAACATTAGAAAGAACTTCCTGTGAGAGATGTTCAGGAGTGGAACTCTCTGCCCTGGAGTGTGATAGAATCTTCTTCTTTGGAAGCTTTTAAACAGAGGCTGGATGGCCATCTGTCAGGGGTGATTTGAATGCATTTTTCCTGCGTCTTGGAAGGGGTTGGACTGGATGGCCCATGAGGTGTCTTCCAACTCTATGATTCTGATTCTATGAAAAAGACGTGAGCAAACAGCTATTACAAATTATGAATCAGCTTAAGTGGTTGAGGGGGGAAAGGAAGGGGCCTGAGTCTGTTAGGAATGGTGGGAGTTGGAGTCCAAAACACCTGGAAGGCGGGCCCAAGTTTGCCCAGGCCTGATATAGAGGATCAATTCCGTTTTTCCTCCCATTATCTCACTACAAGCCTTTAAGTTTACACAGGACTCTTGGATGGAGAGGTGTTGTGGCCATATAGAAGTAACTGCAAGTAAAAACAGCCTTCTTCTTCCCAAAGTGGAGGAAAAGAGGCTGAAAGAAAAAGCGCACTCACTCCTTTCCCCCAGAGGCAGCCCCCAGGCACCCTTCTCTCTCCCCCTCAACCCCAAGCAAGGCGTGGTGCAGGGCAAACTCACCTGCGCAGGCGCACAAGCTCCTTTTGGGCTCACATCCTGCCCCTCTGCGGCCCCTCCCACTCCACCTGCTTCTTGTTGTGAGGAGGAAAGTTGTTGTTTCTGATCCTGTTACATAAAAGGGGGAAAGCGCGCGCAAGGGCACTTCCGCCCGGCTCCAATATGGCGCAGTTAATGGCACGGAGTTCAATCTCTATTTCCGGTTCTGCTTAGGCGGCCTCCATATGCGTGGATGAATGGGGAATTGCGCTCTGGGGAAAGTGGAAGAAGGCCACCTGCTATTCCTACGCTTTTTCTCCCATAGATTTGAAAGTTCTTAAGACGGAAATGGGGGTGGTATTTGATTATTTTAATAGTTTTAATTATTTTTTATTATATTGCTAATGATCTATTGTATGTGCATATAAAATTGATCATAATATTGTAATATAATAATAGTACATATAATTATTATATATTATATATTACACGTATTTTTATTAATTTTGCAGTATAGTGGTATAGTACAATATAGTAATACATAATATTAATACTGTACTATGCTAACAATATAATGAATGTACATATAAAATTGATCATAATATTGTAATACAACATAATAGTACAATATAATAAAATTATTATATATTACATGTAATTTTATTAATTTTGCAGTATAGTTATTTATTGTGTCAGGAGCGAACCAAAACAGTCGTATTGCCTTCAAACAAACAAACAAACAAACCACAAAGTTTGCAGACTTGGTATTCTATTAAATGTCCTTTGACCAGTATCTGGCCACTTGGAGTGCCTCTGGTGTTGCTGCAAGAAGGTCCTCCATGGTGCATGTGGCAAGGCTCAGGTTGCATTGCAGCAGGTGGTCAGTGGTTTGCTCTTCTCCACACTAGCATGTCGTGGATTCCACTTTGTAGCCCCATTTCTGAAGGTTGGCTCTGCATCTCGTGGTGCCAGAGCGCAGTCTGTTCAGCGCCTTCCAAGTCACCCAGGTTTCTGTGTGCCCAGGAGGTGATATAGTACAATATAGTATAATGCAGTAAAGTAATAGAGTTTGTTGTTGTTCTTCATTCGTTCAGTTGTTTCCGACTCTTTGTGACTTCATGGACCAGTCCACACCAGAGCTCCCCGTCGGTCGTCACCACCCCCAACTCCTTCAAGGTCAATCCAGTCACTTCAAGGATAACATCCATCTATCTTGCCCTTGGAGTAATAGAGTACAATAGAGTAATATATAATACTAATACTGGAGCTTAGGAGCCTTGTAACCAAGGTGAAAGAAGAAAGTGCAAATGCTGGGTCGCAGTTAAACATAACCCCCCCCCCCCCAAGATTATGACAACCAGACTGACTGATAACTGGCAAATAGAAGGAGAAAACGTGGAAGTAGTGACAGACTTTGTATTTCTAGGCATTAAGATTACTGTGGACTTCATGGGAGGAGAGCAATGACCAATCTCGATAAAATAGTGAAGAGTAGAGATACCATACTGGCAACGAAGATGCACATTGTTAAAGCAATGGTATTCCCCATAGTAACCTATGGATGTGAGAGCTGGACCATAAGGAAGGCTGAGCGAAGGAAAATAGATGCTTTTGAACGGGAGTGTTGGAGGAAAATTCTGAGCGGGTCCTGGACTGCAAGATCAAACCAGTCCATACACCAGGAAATAATACCCTACTGCTCACTGGAGGGAAGGATATCCTCAGCGAGATAGAGCAGAATATAAATAAAGTTGTTGTTGTTATTATTTGAAACACAACAAAATGAGTCCACAGCAGACAAGATCACTCTGCTGGCTGTTGTATTTGATCACATGTATTCGCCGATACATCCCACCGCCCTAGACACTTGGGAAGTGTCCGACATGTGATCCAATACAAAACCCAGCATAGTGATCTTGTTTGCTGTATTGCAGGGGTCCACAAACTTTTTAAGCAGAAGGCCAGGTCACGGTCCCTCAAACTGTTGGAGGGCCGGAGTATAATTTGAAAAATTAAACATGAATTCCTGTGCACACTGCACATATCTTATTTGTAGTGTAAAAAACACTTAAAAACAATACAATAATTAAAATGAGGAACAACTTTAACAAATATAAACTTATTAGTATTTCAATGGGAAATGTGGGCCTGCTTTTGGCTGATGAGATAGGATTGTTGTTGTTATGTGCTTTCAAGTCGTTTCAGACTTAGGTTGACCCTGAGCAAGGGCCGGGTAAATGACCTTGGAGGGCCGCATCTGGCCCCCGGGCCTTAGTTTGAGGACCCCTGCTGTATTGTGTATCAATAACAGTTTTAATTTCCATAATATTTTCCCACACACTCTGAAGGCCATTGAGAACCAGAAGTCTATTGTGAGAACCTGTGAGAATGAATCCCCAGGGTTTCCCTCTTCCCTAGAACTGGTTGTGATAGACGTTTTCTTCCAGCCAATAGAGGAGCGGGAAAGGGCGCCGTGTCCCCGCCCTATTCGCTGATTGGCTAGTTTGGGGCTGCCTTCTTCCAGAGAGCTGCTGAGGCACCTTCGCTTTGTGGCATTTGTTTGAAGACGCAGGAGGCGGCGGAGGAGGAGCGTTGGCTTCCCAGGTAAGGGGTCTTCGGGCTAATCTAGGTGCCAAGAGGCCCATAGCAAGCAGAGGCATTTGCTTGCGGTCGCCTAGGAAACCGTACAAGGCCTACATCCATCCTGATCTATCCTGAAAGACTTAATATTTTTCCTTCCTGGAATCTCTGTTCTTATGATGGTCTTCACCCAGAAGGCCCCTTTTGAAGTGTTTCCATTGCTTTCTCCAGGCAGGCTTTTAAAGAAGGACGTTTTTAGTATTTCATTGGTTTTGTTGACAGGTTTTCATGGTTTTAACCATTCTTTGTCTAGTTATCTGTTGATGTTTATAAGTTGTAGGCTTTACATTGCAGTTTGTACTATTTCTATTATTGTGAGCCCCTTTCAGTCTGGATATAAATATAGTAATAATAATAACTTGATGCGTCACTATATTTCTATATTTGTATCTTTCTGTTGTCTCTTAAAAGAGGCTGCAGTGGCGCAGTGGGTTCAACCGCTAAGCAGCAGAATAGAAGCTGCTGTTAGAATCTGCAAATGGGATGAGCTCCCATTGTTAGCCCCAGCTTCTGTCAACCTAGCAGTTTGAAAACATGTGTTTTCTGTGGCATTAGCATCATAGGTTTAAATGTAATTGCTTGTCCCAGTTAGAATAGATCTGCCAAACAAATTACTGGATAGTATGTTAGCACTTATGTGAGTAGAGCAATAGGTACCGTTTTGCTGGGAAATAGCGGCGCTCTATGCAGTCATGCTGACCACATGACCTAGTAGGTGTCTTCGGCTTAGAAGATCAGCACCACCCTCCAGAGTCCGACACAACTAGACTTAATGTCAAGGGCAAACCTTTATTTACCTTTTATTGTCCCTTAAACGAGGCTCAAAGCAACTCACACTATTGCAAACAATGAAATTTAAAACCAACAACTTCTAAATATTAAAATTGCATTGAACTGAGAATTGTTTAACCAAATCAATTAAAATCCCATAAAACATGAAACATTGTTAAAGTAGTAACAATTAAAGCACCATACAGCACGTTGTTTAAAATGTTCTGGTCACTTAATATACCTGAGTTTCACTGAACAATTTTTTGAAATTGATTTTTTCACTTTCTACAACCACTTTTGTTTGAATTTATGTAAAATTTGGAATTATAGAGAAGTCTGCTTATCCCTTTTGTGTGGATAATGCCATTTGGTTTCATAAAATGCCGAGAATGAGTTCATTGTTAATCAATGGATCATTTCACCAAATCTGTATATAACTTGCTCATTATTTACTAAATATTCAGTTGATCTGAATCTCATGCTAATCTAATCTTTAAAGCAGTTTTCTCTCCTCAGTTCACTAGGAAATAACATGACTGATTGTATCATTAGCAGGACATTTAAAAGTCTGAAAGACTCAAAATACATTTTAGAATATGTTTGTTTGCATGGGCATTGAACTGTTGCCAGTTTGGAAGCCGCTCTGAGTCCCCTTCGGGGTAGGAGAGGGCAGGGTAAAAATATAGTAAATAAATAAATATAATATTTTGAAGTTTTGTGTTACTTGCTGGTGATTATTATGTTCAAAGGTAAAGCTAGAAATTGGAATGTTTTAAAAGAGAATTCACTTTATTTGTGGTAGAGTTAGAAAAGTAATTTTTATTCTACTTGCTACTTTTCCTTTACCTTTTCTTGAGAGAGTAGCATTGAAACTGGACATTTAGAGTTAACATACCTGAACATGTAATGAGAAAATGTTGTTCTTTATACAATAAAATAATTTGGATCCTACTGACTGAATTGCTTTTGAAATGTAATTTTATACACTTGTTTTAAAGGTAATTGTGTTGTTTGTGACATGTTATACTCAAGTCTGAAGCTGCGGTGGCACAGTGGGTTAAACCCTTGTGCCAGCTGAACTGCTGATCTAAAGGTTGGTGGTTTGAATCCACAAGACGGGGTGAGTTCCTGTCAATCAGCTCCAGCTCCCCTTGCAAGGAAATGGGAGAAGCCTTCCACAGGATCCGGGGGTCCCCAGGGCAACGTCCTTTCAGACAGCCAATTCTCTCACACCAGAAGCAACTTGCAGTTTCTCAAGTCTCTTCTGACACGATAAAAAAAATACCCAAAGTTTAGTTAAAACTGTGTTAGGGTTGAAGTAGAGGTTATGCCCTGTGCTGCCCCCACTGTGTATATTTATTTGGAAACGGGGATGAGCAAGATTTTCAAATTTCAGAAAATAGCAACCCTTTGAAGATGGCAAAGAGAAACCATTGCAGCAGTCAAAGCTGTTAGGTCAAAGCATTTAGATGTTTGGATTATAATAGGCATTTGCTGACCAGTTGAGCAATTCAGCTTCTGTTTGGACTATCTCCTTGGCTTCTGATCTTTGTGGTTTAAAAGAAGAAAGCATTTGTGTAAAAAGTGAGTGAAGCAGCTCATGATCAACACTTGACTTGTTTTTCAGGATTCCACCATTATGATCATGATTGAAAGCATTGACTCCATAGTCACTATTTCCAGCCAGGACTTGTGGGCTGAAATATGTTCGTCGCTGCCACATCCAGATCAGAATGAAGAGTCTAGCAATGCCTTCGCAGATTCCTTCGCAGACTGTTATGTCCAAAATGACGTCATGGACACCTCTTACCAAGCGGCAGACCTGAAGCCTTGGGCACCACTGAAGGATTCTGAGATTTATTTGGCATCTTTAGGTCAGTATATCCAAAACTGCATACAGTGATCCCCTCCCCATTTGCGGTTTTGACTTTTGTGGATTTGATTATTCACAGATTTTATTAAAATGTCTCTAGGAGTCTGTACGGTCTCTGTTTTGACTCTGTATTCAACTTCCTCCGGTCATGCTGGGAGACTAGAAATTTCTAGAGAGAACATCTCTGTAGGAATCCCTGTGCCGTCCAATACAATTCTAAGTTCAGTTTCCAGTGGAAGTTGACCATAGAGTTATGCTGAAAGACCTGGAAATTCCTAGAGATGTGTAATCTCAGGTAAAAAATAGCAATTTTGTTATTCACAGTTTTTTAAAATTTTCATTGGGGTCCTGTACCCCTTACCCCAGCAGATGTGGAGGGCTGATTGTATTTGAGGGTTTTTGTTGCCTTCATGCACTAATCTTTTGTGCGAAGCATATGGCACTGCAACTGTAAATTACTAGGAAAAATTGTTCCAATTGAGTGTGGAAAATCTGCTTTTTGGACAACAAATCTGAAAATGCACTGGCCTGTATGGGCTTTCCCTTCTTCTTTGGAGGGTTCTGGAGCTGCAATCCACAAAAGCAAGGTTTCTAATCATTGGCTTCTGCTTATGTTTGTTTTATTTATCGTGTCAGAAGCCAATTGAGAATACAATTATACAAAAAACCACAAAGTCAAAAGCTTGGCATTATACTAAATTTTCTTTGACCAGAAGCTGGCCACTTGGAGTGCCTCTGGTGTGGCTTTAAGAAGGTCCTTCATTGTGCATGTAGCAGGGCTCAGGCTACATTGCAGCAGGTGGTCTGTGGTTTGCTCTTCTCCACACTTGCAAGTCGTGGAATCCACTTTGTAGCCCCATTTCTTAAGATTTGCTCTGCATCTCATGGTGCCAGACCACAGTCTGTTCAGCGCTTTCCAGGGGGAAGTTTCTCATTTGGTATCAGTCACTGATTGAGGTTCTGGGTTTTAACCTTCCATGTTTGGACTCTCGCTTGGTGAGGTGTTTTTGTGAGTGTAGATCTTAGGAAGCTATATCTTGATTTAGGGTGTTGGCTTGCTGTCTGATATCCAAACAGAGGATGGGCTGTCAATTCCTTGGTCCTTTCATTACAGTCTGCTACTTCCCAATGGATGTCAGGTGGTGCAATACCGGCTAAACAGTATAATTTCTCCTGTGATGTAGGGCGTAGACATCCTGTGATAATGCAGCATGTCTCATTAAGAGTCACATCCACTGTTTAACATGGTGAGATGTAGTTCACACTGGTCATGCGTATTCTGTAGCAGAGTAGCAAAGCGCCAGGGCTTTGTGAGCCCCACCAACAAATGTTCATGTTGTGCAGAACTAAAAAATAAGGATGTATTTTTTAAAAGCTGACTTCCTCCCAGGTTAAAATTCACTGACCTGTTGCATGTAGTCAGGGCATCTCTGGATTGCATTTTATTTGAAATCTGTTTGAGAGGCTGGATTAGAAATCATTGACTTCAAGGTGTCTGTGTGTTTTCTAGCTCTGAAATCTACTTCCTTTCTTTGTTTGGTTCTTTCCTTAGAGAGAAGATTAATGAGAATAAAGGGTTTGTCTCAGGAAGTGACCTCCAAGGATATGCTGCACACTCTTTCTCAAGCTAAGAAAGAATGCTGGGACAGATTTCTGCAGGAGAAATCAGAATCTGACTTTTACATGGAAGGAATTGATTCCAACGAGAGGTAATAACCCATAGTAAGCAACTTCGGCTCCTTGATCTGTCTGAAACTTTTTCAAGTGGTCTTAACATCTGGAAATGTTATTTTTAGATTACAGCTTCCTGAATTCCCATAGAGACCTTCCATACTTATTTGTTGTTGTTCATTCGTTCAGTCATTTCCGACTCTTTGTAACTTCATGGACCAGCCCATGCCAGAGCTACCTGTCAGTTGTTACCACTCCCAGCTCCTTCAAGGTCAATCCAGTCACTTCAAGGATACCATCCATCCATCTTGTCCTTGGTCGGCCCCTCTTCCTTTTTTCTTCCATTTCCCCCAGCATCATTGTCTTCTCTAAACTTTCCTTTCTTCTCATGATGTGGCCAAAGTACTTCATCTTGGCCTCTACTATTCTTCCTTCCAATGAGCAGTCAGGCTTTATTTCTTGAAGTATGGACCGGTTTGATCTTCTTGCTATCCATACTTATAGGAATGCTGAATATTATGTGAGAAGGGATTTTCTGGGGTTTGGTTTAAGCTGTACTTGCCCAATTTTTGGTGCTAGGATCCAGTCGTAGATACAGCATAGTAACGGAAAATGAATGCTATTGCCTTCGAGACAACTTTCAGCATGACCAATGATAAGGGCCATGCTGGAGTTTGTGAATGATAGTTGGCTTTCATGGCCGGAATAACTGGGTGTTGTAGGGTTTTTTTCGGCTATATGGCCATGCTCTAAAGGCATTCTCTCCTGACGTTTCGCTTGCATCTATGGCAAGCATCCTCAGAGGTAGTGAGGTCACATTCACCCCTAGCTCCAACAGACAAGAGTTCTTTGTCCCACTGGTCATTCCACAGATATATAATCCTAATTTTCCTAGTTCCAACAGACCTCACTACCTCTGAGGATGCTTGCCATAGATGCAGGTGAAACGTCAGGAAAGAATGCCTCTACAACATGGCCATGTAGCCCGAAAAAATCTACAACAACCGATAGTTAGCTTCTGTAAATCAATGTGGATGTTTTATGTTCAGATTTTATGTCATTATATAATTTTTGTTTGATTACGTTTGGTTTAATTTAATGATGTTAGGTTCTAATATGGTTTTCATATGTGGGTTTTTTTTTTATTATTATGTCAGTACTTGTTTGTCCTATTGAGGCATTGAATGTTTGCCGTTGTATGTTGGAATCTGCCCTGAATCACCCTGGGGAGATGGGTGGAATATAAATTTTAAAAACTATTATTGTTGTTGTTGTTATTATTATTATTATTATTTTATTATATAAGGCATTGTGGGAATTGTAGGGCCAGTGTCTGGAGGGCCAAAGGCTCGTTTCATGCTTGAGGTGGAATGTCATTTGATTGCATCCAGAGTTAAGTACTTCCCTGCTGAAAAACCACAGCATACATGCAATTTCACCTCCGGGCATCTTAGGTTAGGGAGTAAAATGAGTAGTCAAAGTGTTACTGTTCTTCAAGTTTTCTAAACTCTGGGATGTCTAGCAGTAATGCAAGAGTGCTCTAGGGTTTGTATTGACTTGTTTTAGCTTTTTAAAAATCTAGTTCTGAAGCTTTGCCTTAGCTGAGACCTCAATGAAACTAATTCAAAGCATTTTCACTTGGGCTGGCATTTTTGTAGCTGGAGGCTCTTTTAATTGAATATCTATTGCTCGTTATTTCATTCTGCTTTCTCTCTGGTTTTAAACCTGACACATGTAAGCTTGGGAAAGCTTGTTTGGTACAAATGGGATTACATACATCAAGTACAAATGGCTTGCCCATTTTCAGGCTGCTTTTTCACACCTGAGGGCTTTTGTTCAAGGTTGTGAAATAATGAGCAAACTGACAGCTTCCATGTCACTAGGCCCTGCTCTATGGTATTTATTTGATTTTTCTACAAAATTGGGGCCGCCTTCTTGACACCAAAGTGCAATGAAGACATGGGTTCCCTTCGTTTTAGCAGCATGTTTTCTTTCCTTGTCCTATTTTGAAAATCTTGTAAAAGTTACATTTTGGCATACAACTCTCGATATTCCCAGAAAACATAGAAGATTCTAGGTGTCATAATCTTTGAAAAAATAGCTTATCAAATATCATGTATTTTGTGGAAAGTTTTTTTCCTTCACAGACTATTTTACATTTATTTGGTATGCTCCTGTTATACACACAATTTATATTGTTAGGGACAGCACAGTTAGGGCCTTTCCCCCAAATGTGGAATTGAAGAGCAATTCATTTGGAATACTTTTGAATCACTAATAATCTGTATGGAACGTTTCCTGTTTAAAACGACTGATTATCTGTAACGAAAGCAAACACATGAACCCTTACATTATCCTATGATCACTTTTAATACTCCCGTGTTCCAAGCTACAATGCCTGGCTGCTGGTTGTTCTGGCTTCCTTGTTAGAATAGCAGACTTACATTTGTTACTACTACTACTACTACTACTACTACTACTGCTACTATGGTGTTTATTTATACCCCACTATTTCTCTCTCCAAAGGAGACTCAAAGCAGCTTACATTATAAAAACATTTAAATACAATGTAAAATCTACAAATATACAAACATTAAACAGAATTAAATGTCAGTGGTATTTTAAAATCACAGTTAAAATCCATAAAAACTGATTAAAAACATACTCAAAGGTAAAGCTACAGTGTGCATATAAGTCTGTGATTGTTTTGCCCACATACTGGAGATGACATCCTGCCTGCCAATATTTGATCAGATAAATAAGATTGTAGGATTGGCAAGTGATGTATTGCTTAAGATATTTACAGATGGTGGAACATTTTGAGTCACAAGGGTGTGATCCTGGATGGCTGGTGTTTTTAGGACAGCTTTTACCAGCAATCTCCTTAGCTCTGGTAACTGATGGATAGCTCTAACTAGAAGATTGCCAAAGGTTGTAGTAAGATGTATTGTCGAAGGCTTTCATGGCTGGAATCACTCGGTTCTTGTGGGTTTTTTCGGGCTATATGGCCATGTTCTAGAGGCATTTCTCCTGACGTTTCGCCTGCATCTATGGCAAGCATCCTCAGAGGTGAGGTCTGCTGGAACTGGGAAAAAAGGGGGTTTATATATCTGTGGAATGACCAGGGTGAGACAAAGGGCTTTTGTAAGTTGGGCTAGGTGTGAATCTTTCAACTGACCACCTTGATTAGCATACAATGGGCTGACTGTGCCTGGAGCAAACTCTTCTTGAAAGGTGATTAGATGTCCCTGCCTGTTTTTCTCTCTGCTGTTTTTGCTGTTGCAATTTTTGAATTTTTTTTTAATACTGGTAGTTTGCTCCAGGCACAGTCAGCCCATTGTATGCTAATCAAGGTGGTCAGTTGAAAGATCCACACCTAGCCCAACTTACAAAAGCCCTTTGTCTCACCCTGGTCATTCCACAGATATATAAACCCCTTTTTCCCAGTTCCAGCAGACCTCACCTCTGAGGATGCTTGCCATAGATGCAGGCGAAACGTCAGGAGAAATGCCTCTAGAACATGGCCATATAGCCCGAAAAAACCCACAAGAACTGGGTTGTAGTAAGATGTTTTGAATTTATTTGCAATGGATAGCTTACTCTCTAATTGTTAAGAGATGCTAGATGGTAATCTACCACAAAGGGAATGCATTGTTTGTTGTTACTTACCTCACATCTTTTATGGCGAAGATTTTATCTCAAAATGATGGTTGCTGTCCTGATGTTTTTAATTATATGAGAAAGATTTCCCCCAGTGAAACTGATCTGGCTTCTTTCCGTGAACCTTTTACGGTAGTTTTCTTCATTGTGCTAGATGTGTTTGATTCCTAGAACCATGCTCTAGATAATATTTCTTGTAATGGGATGGCAGAATCTCCTGTCCAGGCTTGGTGGCTTAGCGTGGATATGGAACTATGGTTTTTGGAGAGTGATGTCCTCACGATTTGGCTATTTTATTTATATACTGCACTTCCTCCAAGAAGCAAAAAACAATGTTGTGTTTGCTATGTAACTTAAAGTCATTTCTGACTTTGAGGCAAATCTACCACTGGATTTTCTTGGCACAACTTTTTCAGAGAGGCTTTTCTCTTGCCTTCCTCTGAGACTGAGAGAGTGCAATGTAGCCAGGATCACTCAATGACTTTTCATCACCAAGTGGGGATTCAAAACGAGTGCAACATTCAAACCACTACATCATCGTGACTGTCACCAAAGCAATGTACCTCTTCATTGTATCTCTGTAATATAAGTTGTTCCAGCAAGTGATTAAAAGACCCCGGAATTGCTTGTAAATCTCATGAAAATTTGATGGTGGGCCTTCCCAGGCCCAGTCTTTTGTTACCTAGAGACTGAAGAGAGTCAGAAAGGCTTGTAAGAACCTATTGGTTATGTTCTTTTTTATTTATTCTTTCCTACTTCCCTGTACTTTAATATGTATTTTCTGTTTTCAGCACCCTGGAGCACTTGAAGCGTTGGTTGCAGCCTGATAAAGTTGCTGTCAGCAGTGAGGAAATACAGTATTTGATTCCCCTTGAAGCTCATGTTGAGAAGCAAGAGAGTGAAGAAGAGGCCATGGCTGTGGAACAGTGAAATGCAGTGACACCTTGCCTCCAAGACAGGGGCTGGCAGTGTTTGTTAAAAAACCAAGAGGAGGGAAGTGCCAACAATTGGCTGAGGTAGACCAATTGTTGTCTGCTCAGTAGCTTTTGCCCCCCTCCCACCTTCTAGCTTACAGTAGCTATTCCATTTTGAATGTATATATTGTCACAGATTTATAATTAGACATATGTAATCTGTGAAGATGATTGAAGGCAGTGAATTCACATTTGAGATATTACATGGACTGGAATTGAGCATTCAAGTTAAAGAGTCAACTAATTCACTTGTAATATTTCCTATTATTGTTTATTGGCATCATTCCCAGATAATTTTTGTAGTTTTGTAGTGTTGTTTCTGAAGTATGCTTTATGCCATCTTCTTTTGTATTGTTAGCTGGTTCAACATGGCCTCAGAATGTGCAGAAAGCTGCCATTCAAATTCCACTGCAGGAGAAACATTTTACTTTTCCTCTCTTCCTTCCATCATGGAGAGGAACCTCTCAATCATGAGCCCACAAAGGTTCACTACAGCTCACAGGGTCACCCCACGACATTCCTTTGCTTCCCAATTAGCTGAGAGAAGAACATTTACCCTGATCTGTGATCACAAATGACAGGGTCTCCTTTTCTATGGCCTCACTTGATGGGTGCAGATATTAGTTGAGTCCTGATGTGAGGATCCAGCCAGTTTCTGAGGCCATTTGCCACCCCTTTCCTGTGTAATGGAGGAGCAAAGCTAAGCCAGGTAAAGAAATGCCACCCAGTACTTCAGCCACGCAACATCACAACATCCATCATTAGAAACCACAATTCTTGCAAATATAGTTTTCCAGTGTATAATTATTTAACGGATATTTTCTAAGGTTGAAACATCCCTGTGACATGCAGCTGTCAACATCTTTCCCATAACTTTAACCAGCCCAAAAGATAGATTATCTCTGGTGAAGTGAAAAGCAGCTGGGTGTCTGTTTTGAATGTTCCTGTGCCCATTATTTGTAGTTATACAACAAAACATTGAGGTCACCATGAGGTAGTTTCAACTTTAAATAAATGAAGCATTTCCTAGGGAGTGAAAAATCTCTTTGTGTTAATATTGTTCTTGTTCCCGCAAAGAAACAGTCTTTGAATTCAGTACTAGTACTTCATGCAGAGTTTAGATTTCTCCAAAATAACTGTTCCATATCCAGAAAGCTTCAGTCTTGGATAAATGTAGCACTTCTGTGTTAATATTGTTGTTGCCACAAAGAAACTGTCTTTCATACTGCAGTACTTCAAGGAGTACTTTACTCATAATTTTGAACTTCAAGTACTCTGAAATGGAAGTACTTTTCTTTTTAATTTGTTTTATCTATAGTCTAAGTTTATCAAGAATTTTACCAAGAACATTTCATGTTCCTGTTTCTTTTCTTGTACTTGATTACTTTTTTGCCAGAAGCAAGCGTAGTATATTCTGGGAAAAAAAATCTGGACATAAACTTGTGCAATGAATTGGAATAAACAAAACAAAACATAAAACAAGCTGAAATAGGATGCAGGGAGCTTCGGTAGGTGATATATTTCATTAATATGACCATCATCTGATGATCTAGTCCAGTGGTTCTCAACCTGTGGGTCCCCAGGTGTCTTGCCTACAACTCACAGAAATTCCAGCCAGTTTACCAGCTGTTAGGATTTCTGGGAGCTGAAGTCCGAAACATCTGGGGACCCACAGGTTGAGAACCACTGATATAGTCCCTCCTGCTTCACTGATTTTGTGTAAAGGTATTTGTTCTGTAGCCTCACCCCATGCCTCGACTTCAGCATCTCCATCGCTCCTACCCATTGGCTCCCTTTACTGTTTCTGCTGTCTCTCCGCCTCCTGCTTGAATATCCTTTCTTTTCCACTAGTTTTTCACTTCTTAAAAACATTGAGGTTTTAACCTGTCAGGCTCGACTTGTTGATGGTATTGATGTCAGACTAAGCCTGAATATCATCATTTTGTCACCAGAGAAACTGTCAGTAATGGTCCCTCTGAGTGGCTACATGGCGAAGTCATTGGTCCAAGGATACAGAAAAGTGATTTGAAACCATTTCTAAAGTGACATCAAGTTTGAGTTTGTTGAGGTTCACCAACAAGCAGAAATAAATCAGGGTGAGAAGGCTTTTATAAAATGCTTCGATATCCTTATCACTTGAAATTTGTGCCTGGGGAAAATCTGACATATTACAAAGTGTGGATGTAGAAAAATGTGGTTCTGGAAGAGGTTTTTTTGTGAGGAAGGAGTGTAAATATGTCATGATTACCTCTTCTCTGAAATCGAAGAGCAGTATTATCTGAATGAAACTATCAGTAAATAAAAGAGTCAACCACGTTTGCTAGCCAAAATGTTTGAAAGTAAGAAGTTTACATTGTATTAGTTCATCTGATTTCATCTTTAGTTGAAGTTCTTCCTATTCTTGATGAGATATTGTAGATTGTGAGCTACGTATTTTGCTGTTGTATTGTGTGTAATCTATATACCATTTATATAGTTTTCACAAATAAGTTTTAATAACTTTTATCTAAATCCAGCAAATATATACATCTGTAAGAAGTGCATGGTATGATTGACGACCATATGATTTCAGAACTGACTTTTTTGATGCTGAAGTATGTTTCTTCTGCTGTAAAGCTAATAAGGAACTTAAATGTGAAATGAAAGAATCTGTTATATACTCACATGGCAAGTCTTATCCTGGGAGAAAGGCAAGATATATATAAATAAAAGTAGAGCTACTTCAAGAAAAACACCCCCCCCCCCTACTTCCCTCTCCTTTGGAGTTCAATTTCCCATTAAAGTGTAATAAAATTAATTGTTATTACTGCATTTGGTTCACTTTTCCCCATTCTGGAAAAACCCGCGTTTTCTATCTTAATGTAATAATGTCAATGTATTTTAAGTTTTCTTCTATGCAATCAGGTAGGTTTCCTTCTATGCAATCACAACTGATAACAGGATATGAAACAAGATTTGGAAGTAGGGAATGATTCATTTCAAACTATTCAGAATAAGCTTAAGGATTCTGAAGTCTGTAGTCTTTAATGTATTGTTTATTTTAGAGAGTAGAAACTATTAGTACCAGCTACCTGCTTACTCTGAGGACCAGTGTGATGTAGTGTTTGAATGCTCAATCAGGATTCTAGAATTTCAGGAGCCATAGAAACCCACTGAGTGACCTTGGATAAGTCACACCCTGTCACATGAATAAGGAAGGTGTAAAGCAGTGGTTCTCAACCTGTGGGTCCCCAGGTGTTTTGGCCTACAGTTCTCAGAAATCCCAGCCAGTTTACCAGCTGTTAGGATTTCTGGGAGTTGAAGGCCAAAACATCTGGGGACCCTCAGATTGAGAACCACTGGTGTAAAGCAACCAACCCCAGAATAAATCTTGCCAATAATCCCTTGTAGTAAGGTTGTTATAAGTTGGAGTTGACTTGGAGGATCATAACGACAACCTGCTTAGTAGCAAAGCATGCACCTTTAGGCTATTTGGGGCTCCTAAAGTGTCAGTGGAATTTTTCTCCTTGTAATTTGAATCTATTGGTTCACATCTTAATCGCAAGATCAGCAAAAACCAAGCTTGTTCTATCTGCACGATATCTCTTCAAATACAGAAAACTGTCACTTCTCAATTTTCTCTTCTTGGGCTAATCTATCGGGCTGAAAATCCACTTCAGAGGTGTTTTCAGCGCTGAGTTGACATGATACTCAATCCAAAAATCAAACTATCATTTCTTCTTGCTTTCATGGGTTAAATGTAGGAATAAAGTGTTGCCTTTTATGCAGATTTCCCCCTTTTAACTCCATTTTGCTCACCTTTTTAATATGTGATCTGCATTCCAGTTTAGCCTCAGCTTTTGTCCAGCATTGGGTGGAGGATGAAGCATGTTGATGTTTTTGTTAGCTCTTTCTCAGGTCAACAGAAAAAAAATGTATCATAGTATTTGCCTCAGATGGGAGGAAAGAAGAGTAGAGAATGCATCACAGCAAGGACAAATGGAGAGTGTGGGATAAATGCCAGAAATGGTGCAGTGGGGGGGGGGGGGGAGTTAAAACACTAAAGTACTGGAGGGATTAGAGGCGGTTGTAATGCTCTTGAACTTACCTGCAAGGAAGAAACAATAAATATTCTTTTGAGTATCTGCAAGCCTGCCATGTGGTGTTTGCTGCATATCTTGACAAAAAACTGTTACCACTAGCTTCACCTCGTGGGTACATGAATCCGAATTTCTAATTTGGCCAGAACTGCTGAGGAAGCAGCAGCTGTTTATCACACATTTATTTGGGAAAATAAATTAGATGCAAGTAGGGGCTTTTTCAGTTCCCCTTCCCAGGGAAGAGGGCCAAGCAGTGACAAGCAGATACCCAGAATATGCTGTTGTGTAGAGACACCCTTCTCTTCTTTGCACCCAGCAAAATGTTGTGCAATCTGCCCAATGTTCATGGGAGCATTGTACCATGAATGTTATTTATATTAAACTTGATACTTTTGGGAGGGCATGAAACAAGATACACGGAGAGTGATAGGTTTTCCTTTGTTGGCCTACCTGTAACTTTTATTCCATGGCATTGTTCTCCAGCCTGTTACTTAACAATCATGACATATCTGTGGGTAGGCATGAACTTGAGCAATTTAAAACAACCATGGATAGTGAGATCCAGGCTGTGGATAGGGAAACCTGAGTGCTGATACCAAGTTCAATAAGCGGATACCGGTACTGGCAGTAGGCTGCCTGTGGATCTGTGCACCTGGCGAGATGAAGAAGCTAACCCAGTGTTCTCAAATCAAGAAATCTCACCAAACTGAAGAAGAAGCCACTGAGGTCATTTATTTAAGTCAGCTGAAATGGATGCCAACTCGTGGAAAGCTGTAGAAGAAAGCTGAGATGCCATGCAGATCAAAACATACATTTTTTTATAGACAGAAATCCTTTGAATTTCCTGCTCTTGCCTCAGCTGAACCTGGCTGCACCATGATTGGCTGAGCTCCATTGACATCATGATCATCTGGGTGGGACTCTCTTGAAGAGGCGGGACTGCTATGCCCACCGGCCCATAGAAGAGTGTTCTCCATTTCCAATGCAGATTTCCACTTTCCAATGGACAGGGCAGGCTGGTTCGGGTGACAAAGAATCGTAAAGTACTATGAATGAATGACAGTTGTCCCAACAAGGGACAGAACAAAGAGGGGCCATCAGGTATCATGCATTTTATGAAAGTCTTTTGTGAGGATGAGTGGCCCATCAAAGTGGTTTGGGCAGCCATGACGCCCATGTCT